GGTAGCCTTTCGAACCAGGTTAAGCCAAGGTCGCCAAGGATGGATGGGAATAGAATGCACATCAAAGCCTCGTTCCGCCGGTATACTGCCATAACCTGGTGAAAGTGGCTTAGATGCATGTAGGGATCTGTCTTCCCTTCGTAAGTCGTAAACTTAGGCTGGAGGAAGCCGGAAGGTAACGGCGCGTTCTCAATTGCCGGAACGAACGGCGAGCTATGCAACCTTGCTAATGCTTTGTTTGTTGGTTCGTAGGTAAGGCGCGGTATTGGCATTCCTACCTCGACGCTTCCGTGCGCCCGAGGAGCCAACCTCTGAAGGGCTGAAACTCTGCGCGGGTCGCGTGCCCTGACATCCTCCTTCCACCGTGCCCTTTCTTCAAGCACAGTTCGCAAATCAGACGATCTGGGCAACTCCGTCTGCCTGGATGATGTCTGGTGCATGCGCGAGGGCCGATAGGTACTTTCTTCAGTATATGACCTCTCAGTTCTCGTTCTCTCAGACTTGGAGTAACGAGTTCTGGACGTCCTTGTTTGAGTGTCGCCTGTTCTAAGGCTCTTACTCTCTGCTTGTGATGGCGTGGTGTGTCTACCACGACCTTCCGAGTGGCAAGGAGGCGTACTGCCTTTGCGCCTCTCTCCTGTCGCCACCCCTTTTCCTTTTATCTGACGCTTCATCAACTCCATGTCTGCCGCCATCCTTCGTATCAACTCATCCTGTTCCTTCACGCGATCCTCCAGAACCTGAGGGTCAATCCTCCACCTCTGCCTTTCGGGGCTTTGAGAGTGACGGGGGCTGTTATCCAGCCTTCCCCTTGCATCCCTCCGGGGGTTCTTTCGCTGGGGCTTTAAATCCGTCATAGGAGGGATAGAAGGCAAACCTTCGCGCCTCCCACCCTCCTCTGGGGTTTGTCCGTCGAAAGCGGACTGCGGTAAGTCTTCATTGTGCGCTATTGATCTTAACTAGAGAGGAAAGCTTGATCAAGAGGTTTTGTTCTTTGTGGAATTCCCACAGACGACGCCAATTGTACGAGCACGAAATAATTCTTCTCGTATGATCCTGTTGATCAAGCTTGCACTCCCCCAAACGTCGTCGTATGATCCTGTTAACCACAAGGCTCTTTTGGACCGGTCTAACTTACAAGGCCCTTTTCCTCAGCCATTCTCACTGTGACCCATACAACGGCCCATTACCTAGCTCGGCCTAATTTACTTATAAATTACCCTCTCAATTATCAAAACATGACCTTAAAGTAGACTCATTGGGCCGTGCTGGACTGTTGAGTCCGATTATGGACGGAAGCCAGTACAATCCCTATCTAAAATATTGTACTCTTTCTGTGTTTTTATTTTTATTTATTCAATTCGGATCGGAGGAGGGGAGGCGGAATGAAGGTTCTTTGGGCTTTTGAGTGGGAACAGGCTGCATAGTGTATCGTGGTGGGCTCAGTTGGGCCTATCAAATGAATTGCACATTAGGTTTTGTTCGTTGGGCTACTCACTCAAGACGAAAAGGAAAACACAATATTGGGCCTTGAGAGCATATAACTAAGGGGCCCATTCAAGTTTTTCATGCATGCCAGATTCATCTCTATTATTATATTGTAAGGGAAACACTCTCATGAGCCATGACAAATTTTCGTTGTCCCTTCCTTTTATCTTAGAAAATTACATTTTTTTTTCTTTTTTTTTTTTTTTTTTTTTTTTTTTTTTTTTTTTTTTTTGGGTACATCGGAAAGTCATTTTATTCACTTTCAACTATACACCGTTGTCAGTTTATCCTTCTTTAATTAAAAATTCTTACATTTTATCCTCATAATCTTATAATTTATTTGAATTTAAACATTCTAATATAAAATAGGAGGAAAAAATAATAAGTAAATTGCACATACCAATTTTAAGGTAAATTGTCCATTGAAGAACTTATTCATTCACATATATATAGTTAGTAACAAAATATAATCAGCTCTCACAACCCCCCTCACAAAATCCAGAGTCCTAGAGACGAAATCAATATTCCATCGTCAAAGGGACTAAAGACAAATAATTTTTTTTTATCATAATATGATATATAAACTATATATATATATATATATATAAAATTCAAATACTATATAAGTAATTTCTAATAGAATAAAGAATTTTTTTGAGTAGAAGATAAAATGAGAATGTAAGATGATAGAAGAATGTGATACATATCTTTCATACTGAGGGACTATTTTATCTATAAAATAAAATATATTTTAAAAGTGTTAATGATAAATAGAAATTTTCACATGACCCCCTATTTGTGCCACATTTTATTTTTTTTGTCAATTTTGGTCTATTAATTATGGCAAAGCTCGATTATATTTGTCGATTGAAATTATAAACTATTTTCAAAGAATAACATTGACAATATTTGTTTTTATTATTATTATTATTTTTATCGACATGCATGCTAACGTGACATGACAGATATGTTACGGACGTGACATGATGACAGTTGCAGTAATTTGAAGTTTAGTTGTTGAGATCAAGGAGTCAAGATCAAATCAAGCACCAAACCTGTAAATGATTCTTATCAAACATGAGATATGGATAATGTTAAGAAAATCATAAGTTTGTTGAGGAAATCGTGAGTTTAGATTATCTCTTTCTCTCATGTGGTTAATCCTATAAATAGGTCAAGAGAGATACAAAGAAATCAATCATCAACCATCAAATATACTCGTGCAGAGTTATTTAGGAGTAGTTCTAAATTGATGATTAATTGTATCATCCAAAAAATAACAATTTTAGTCCGACTAAAATAGTTATAAAACTAAGGGAGTATTTGAAATGATTTAAATAAAGGGTGATTTAGAATGCTCTAAATGAGTATACTTTTTGACTTTTTATAATAAAAAAAATGTGTAGAAAAGTAAAAAAAGTAGGTAAAAAACTAGAGATGAGATATTAATAGATGTAACTCAAATAAATATATGTATGCAAGGAAAACGTACTTTTTTAGTTTATATCAAACACCTACTATATAGTTTTTAATTTTTTTTTAAAAAACATGATATATAAATTAAATTTAAAATGATATGTTAAGAAATGATAAGAAATAAATAAAAAAATTATAATCTAAATAAAATAACATATGCTATTTTATTACATGCCTCACATCACAAGCCTTGTAAAATAATCAAGTTGCCGAACGGAGTTTTGTGGGGACATGATTGGCAGGAAACAGGTCGGGCGGTCGGAATCACGGGCGCTGCATCAGCATTGCCTGTGCAGATAGCATTCCGACAAAAAAACACATCCCTTTGGATAATCGGCCCCACTCCTCCACGTCACTCCTCCATCCTCTCCCTCTGTCTGTATAGCACCTTCGTCCTCTCACACACACACACACACACACACACAACACCACCTCAATCGCACCACACCCTAAATTCCCAACAAATATTAATCCAGTTTAATTGTCTACTAATAAAATTAATTAATCATATTTGTTTACAATTTTAAATTAGAATTATACTTTTTTATTTTGTAATTTTATTTTAGCTTTTTTGAAACTATAGACAACAATAAAAATAAAAAATAAAAAATCCACATATTATCTTAATTATAAAATTTTAAATTATTCTGCATATTAACATGACAAAAATTTTAAATTATAATTTATTTATTTTTTATTTTGTAATTTTATTTTACTTTTTTGAAACCTATAAAAAAAAAAACCCACATATTTACCTTAATTATAAATTTTGAAAGTATCCTGCATATTTCACATGACAAAAAAAAGTATGTGACAACTTATTTAATTAAACAAGTTCAACTATTTTTAACAAATTATTAAAAGTTATGCCAAATATATTTATAACTCATTTTAATTCTTTTAAGTTAATAATGTAATTAAAAAGTTATATATAAATTAATTTAGGGTAAAGTATCAATAAGTTCCAAATAATGATTTTATGAATTGTTTGACTCTTACTTTTATTTATTTTTTATTTTTTTATGGACCCAAATATCTCATTCTAGTATGAATTAGATAAAGAGTCAAGTATAAACGTTAGTGTATTATGTGTTAAGAGATAACTGTGGGTTTTCTAATAATATTGAAATTACTAAACGTAACACTTCAAAAAATTTCCTTAATATATTTTTCTCAAACGTAACAACGTAACATTTCAAAAAAACTCTTTAATATATATATTTCCAAACGTAACACTCCAATCAATATAATATACAAAAATTCCTTAGTGTACTTTTCCCAAACGTAACACTTCAATGTAACACAATAAAAAATTTCTTAATATACTTTTTTCAAACGTAATAACATAACATTTCAAAAAAACTCTTCAACGTTTTTTTTTTTTTTTTTTCAAACGTAACACTCCAATCAATATAACACATAAAAACTTCTTAGTGTACTTTTTTCAAACATAACACTCTAATGTAACACTCCAATGTAACAATAAAAAATCACACTAACAGAAATGTAGATTTCTACACTTGACAATCAACACTTCAACCTCCAATCCCTAAAAAAGAATCTCCCGTACCTCACCTTTCCATTTCCATCTCCAAAACAAATTAAAAAATTAAAAAAATGAATTACAAAAAGGCATTCATTTAAACTCAAATACCATCAAATCAAATAAATATAACTTTTTAAAACAAAAAGAACTAACTAATTCATAAAAAAACTCTTAAAACTAAATGAATTAACATTTCCACATATATATAAATAAATTTTTCATTAATTTATAAAAAGTATTGAATGAGGCCACATTAGGTGCAACCAATGGTTGCTGTCACGTTTGATCCACCTTATACACACTACTTTTATATATATATATATATATATATGTTATAAAATATGTGTTGCGAAATAAGTTAAATAAGTTGATATTAGAGACGGAGGGTACAGTGCCTTTTTTTAATTATCAATTTTTAATTTGCAGGGACTGCAACAAATAGGCTCACGTTAATGATTAATAAAATTAGAATAAATGAATGAGATTAATATTAATTTCTCACTTAAAACCTTTTCATTGGTCAACATCACCAACATAACCACACTATTACATCTAATATCTACTTTAACCACTTTCTATATTAATAATATAAATTGAACAAAATATTTAAACTATTTCCCCTTTAACCCATTATGTACAAATTATAATTCCAAATGTCAGTTGTCTATGGTATGCTCTAGTGCTACTGCTAATTCTACTACTTATTGGTTGCTTGGATATATCATCAAGATATATCACCAAGAGGCTGTGTTAGAAGAAGAAGCGAGAGAGGGTTTGAATATGCATTGGCCGGTGGCTAAAATGCGCCGGGGGTCGAACTCCATCTTCCTTCGGTGGAATAGGCTCCACTTATCCCCAAAGTGGTCCATCCATTCTTGTTGTGTGGTGTAGTGGGGTAGGTATTGTTTTATGCTGATCCCTGCATCATCACAGAGCTTTAGGATCTGACGATTTTGATTGCTCAGATACTCTAATGTCTGCGTCTCATCTCCTGTATCCAATGCTGACCTTAGCAACGCTACTAGATAAAACACCTCCTCGTCTGGCGTTACCACTGAAGTCTTATCATCCCACCTATACATACAATCCATACTATTATAACACAATTAAAAATTATCAAGTCTTATAATAATTTTTATTTTTATTTTTAAAAAATGCACATACTATTAACTATTTTAGAGGATAATTGTTAACAGTTATTAAATTTAATCAATTTTTTTCAATCAATTAAAAAAAAAAAAAACTCCATATAAAATTACAAATAGATCCCTTTTATATTCATTACTAAAATATATATATATATATATATGGATTCCATTATATAAAATTTACTTCTTTTGGTGGGAAATCTGCTTTTTTTCAAACTCTAAAAATGTCCTTCAGAGTGTGTAACTATATTTTTTCTCATTCATCAATCTATTCAAAATTATTAAATAATTATTTTTATTTATCAACATAAAGAGAGAAGAAGAACAAACATGTTTTTGGAAGTATGCCTGAGTGAGAGTCTGTGAATACTGTGTGTGGATGCATGGTAGTTGGGATTTGATGGTTTTGAAGGAATCAGGAAGGACCCACATCAGTGATGGGTCGTTACCTGTACTAACGACTATGTTTCTCGAACTCAGTTTGTTTCTTTTTCTTAAATTTTTTTTAAAAATAATTTTGGTATGAAGATGAGGACAGGATTTACCATCCCATCAGTGGGTCCCATCAGAAGATCTTCTGACACGAGAATCTTCCCCACTTGGGCCATCTCTACCGTCTGATGTATATATTACCACTAGCTTCCATTTTCAATCAGAATTCACAGCTATATATATATATATATATGTGTGTGTGTGTGTGTGTGTGTGTGTGTGTGTCATCCAAGCTGGCCTAACACTGGATATATTCGCATATGATGTGTTGGGCTGTATGCATGTTAGCCACGTCTTCACCTTAAACGAGGGTGTAATTTGGACGGGCTTAACCTGAATAATTTAAAGTTAGTCCAAATTTTTTTAGGATTTGAACAAGATATTTTTAAATTTGGTACGGACTTAGGTAAAAATTCAGAAGCCCAAATTAAATTTGAATGGGCTTGGGCAAAGACATCAAACAACCCGACCAACTTGAAACCCGAATTATACATATATAGATATATAACACATATTAAATATATATATAAATTATTAGTTATTACATGATATTAACATAATTTAGATTATTAAATCATATTGAATGTATATTATATATACAAATAATATAAAATCTTACTTTTTTTTTATTTTTTATTTTTACTCATAAATTGTAAAGACTATTGTAGCTATATCTCTCTTACATTATATAAATTATTTAATTTAATGGTACTAATGATTTTCTATATATATTAAAAAAAATGTAAATAGAGTCAAATTCTAATAATTTAATAATGTAGCTGCAAAAAAAAAAAAAAAAAATTTGGGCAATTTGGGCAACTTAGGCAATTCAGATTTAACTCGGGTCGGGCTTGGGCAGGCAATCTCGAGTTACAATTCGGACTTGGGCTGGTTTTGGCAGATCTCAACACAACTTAAGCTAGGTTTTTGGATGATCTCCCAACTCGCCCGAACCCGCCCAAGTTGCATCCCTACCTTAGACATCCCATGCCATACATACACCTCACTACACTCTCAAAAATAAAAAATAAAAAATTGTCAAAATGTCTGACCCATGTAATTTTTATTTTTATTTATTATATTTTTATATATATTTTAATAAATAATTTACATAATTAAGAGTTATAAGTTTGACAATTCATATAGTTTTGCAAATAAACAGCATCAAATCAAAATCTGATATTTGACAATTCAATGCATGTTAAACAATATACTTGTATTCTTCAGTATACATTTAAAAACACAGAAATCAATCACAAAATTATGCGTGATTTGTTTTGCTATTATGTATTTAATTTAATCTTCAATTGTTCATCATTCATAATAAAATTAATGCACCATTAAAAAGAGAACATAGTTGTGGAAGGAAGCTTACTTGTTTTTGTTCATGGGGTAGATGAGAATGGGCCCACTAGTCTTGTTTCCCAAAATACCCTTGAAGACCCCTCTATCAAAGTCAGCAATCTTTGACTTGGGTACAAACAGGTTAAGCCATGGGTGTGGCACATCCCACAACCCCTTGGACCGGAGCTTCAACTCGGCCTTGTGAACCCGGTCCAAGAAATCCATATAAGGCAAGTCAGTTGTGAACACAGATGCCGGTATGAAATTCAGTTTCTTCATCAGTGCCTCCACTTCCTACAAATTATATTAATTAATTAAACAACTCATTAATCAAATCAAAAGCTTAAAAAAAAAAAAAGCCGGGAACACACAAACACAGTTTCTTTTGTCAGAATAGTTTTAATTCTACACAAACTTTAATTTAACTATACCTAAGCAGCATTATTAGCCTGAATAATTTGGCGGGTGGACGGCATAGATTTATTAATTTTATAGTTATTTAAAATAATATAAAGTTTGTGTTCGATTTGAGAATCAACACGGACAATAGATCACACAAGATCTTGTATGTTTTCTAGCGAATGTTTTATCACATATTTAATGACTTAAACTGGTATAATATAATCAAACCTAAAGAGTAATCACAATCATATAATCTAGCTAGGTGTACTTAGGCACAGTGTCATGATTTTAAAAAATAGAAAAAAAAAACACAAAAATGGTGAGTGGATATGAAGGAAAATTACAAATGAGGATAGTGATGTCAGTAGAATGTTCTTACGACTAAGAAGAAACGTTAAATTATTGAGACTAAGAGTTGTGATGTGTTTGGTAGCAACTTAATTAATTAATTAATTAAGAAGAAAATGACTAAGATAGAATAATTGGACTCGATAAAAATGAAGTAAACCGGCCAAAGAAGGCTAAAGATTCTTTGGTGAATAAAGCCATGCTTTGGTCCACAAATCTTTACCTAATTCGAAAAAGCTTTCAATTACCCTACAGTACAAATTCTTCAAATGTTTTCCCTTTTGAAAAAAATAAATAAATTCTCCTGACGACCGCCCACGCCGTTATCAATCAAATAATATTTAAAGAAAAACTAAAATTTCAATATATTTTTAACTTAGACTGACATTAAACATTATCCAATAAGCAGTGAATAGTATTACTCATCTAACTTTCATTAATGTTATTGTCTTGAAAAAAATAATTTAAAAATTCAATTACCCTACAGTAATCTAGACAAATTCTTCAAATGTTTTCCCTTTTAAAAAAAAAATAAATTCTCCTAAGGACTGCCCACGCAGTTACCAAACAAATAATATTTAAAGAAAAACTAAAATTTTTATATATTTTAGCATATATACCACCATTAAACACTATCCAATAAGTGATGAATAGCCTTACTCATCAAACTTTTATTAATATTATTGTCTTGAAAAAAATAATTTAAAAAAATAAAAAATTCAAAATGTATGGATCAAATTCATTACAAATATAATCGACACAACAACTAAAAATTTATACTATATACATTCAAATTTCGAATACTTTTTTTTTTTAATTCCTGAATAAAGTATGTATATAACTTTAGTTATTGGCTCATATAAGAAAACAACTTCAAGTATAGTAGAACACGATTTGTCAATTATATAGGTTCAATAATAGCTCCATCCCACTAGGATGTGAAGATTCGATTCTCTCAATCTGTGTGAGTCTCTCTCAGCTAATTTGTTTGGCATGTTTTTATCCCTATAATGTAATTTCATTCAAATATACAATATATATATATATATATAAAACAAGTACAATTTTTTGTCCAACAAGGAACCAGGAGACAAATCGAAATAATTCGAACACAGCTTGCAATTAGCATATAAAAGGTAACAGTTGCAGCTTTTGATGCGCTGGAATGTCATTCGCCGTCTAACAAGATTGTCTACACATATTTCCACCTAACTTTGAACATTGCAAAGTTTCCACTAATAAGAAATTTTATTACGAATAATTAATAACTTATTTCATACATTACTAGCCGCTTACAAAGGAAATAAGACTAATACAGTATACTTAGGGGCCTCATTTTTCATATAATAAGTATTAGTGTATAGAGTAAGTTATTAAGTGTCAGCATATTTTTTCTTGTTTATAAATATTTAAGTACTTTTTTATCTACGTACAGTACTCGGATGTAATAAGTCCCAATTTGCACAAAAGTTTGGCAGCCCTCAATTATTAGTTCTAATTACTATAATTAGATCAAGCCTAAAGCCCTTGTAGTACAAACTTTTTTTGTTTTTCTTTTTTTATCATCAAAAAAATATTTATCGATAATCATAAAATAATTTAATATGATAAATCAATAAAGAAGAAAACTAATGTCCAAACATCATACTCAATGTGTCAATTCCAATTAGATTGGCACTTACACATCAATTATATGCTAACACAATGCCAAGGTTGATAAGGCACCAACAAAACACCAAACAGGAACACTCACTAACGCTGTGTTTGGTTGGTGGATTTGGGAAGGGAAATAGAAAGGGAAATGGAAATGAAAGGAAAAGGAGAAAGAATTAATAGAATTCCAAATCCCAACTATGTTTGGTTGTGTTGGTTATAAAATAGAGTTGATGTCCTAAAAGGTATCCTATTTCTTTATTTATTTCTCACCCCCTTTCTTTTCCCATATATTTTTTATTATAACCAAACATAAATAGGATTACATTTCTCATTCCTTTTCCAAATCCCACCTCAAAAACTCCAACCAAACACAGCATAAAGGATTGATTGATGTTGTACTACAAGGGCTAGCACAATACACCAAACCGGGGTTGATAGTACAACTTGATACTATTACAAGGCAATAAAAGAAAAGAATTGATTGATATCCTCTAGATTATTATAAATTTGACTATAAAATCATTTTTTATATTAGTCTACCTAAAATACATCATTTTAATTGTGTAAGAAATAAAATATAATTTCACATTGTCTTTTATTAAATTACTGATCACCAATTCATCTAAAATTAACCCTTACGTATGCTTAGATAAGAAGATCCAAAATACAAGATCTAAAATACAAGATATATCTAGATAGTGAGGTCTGAATACAAGATATATTATACATATATATACCTGATCAACAGTATTGGCAGTGAATTCGTAGTAGTTCTTGGTGATTTCCAAGCAGTACAACACACCACCATTGGCACCAAGAGAAGAGATCTTGACAGGGTTACTAGGTGAAAAAAATGAAGATCTCCAGTTGTTGACGAGTCCTTCATCAACAATGACAAAGCCCTCAACATAATCGAATTTTTGGGAGTCTGGCTGGCCATGCCGTGAGATGAGGTACTCTTGGTCATGAGTAAAAGCTGAGAAATTTGAGTACAACACTCGGATCCACCTAACCTACAATCATAAAAAAAAAAAAAAACAAAAAAACAAAAACAAAAACATAAAAAACAAAAACAAAAGAAACAAGAGAAATGGTGAGAAAGAGACCATGCCAGAGAGAGAGGGAAGAAAGAGAGAGGGGAGGGAAAAAGTACATGTCAACAACATTGCCAGCTTTGGAACAGCCGTTTGAATAATAAATATATGGTGTTAAAAAGCTCATATTACATACATAAGGGGACCCAGTCATCTTTCCTCACTCTTAGGTGGTTTATGGCACTTTCTTTGCTTTTTTTGTTTTGTCTTCAACTTCTACCAGGAAATTTTTGCACTTTATACGTGTCCCCACCCCCCTGGCCCCAACCCCTACAACCCATTTTCATTCTCATTTTCAAACTAGTAATAAGCCTTGTGAGAGATTTCGATTATCTCCATTTCATAAAATAGAGATCTCATTCAGTTAAAAAAAATAGAGATGTCGATTGTATGATTGTATGATCAGTAATTGTAAAAAAATCATAAAATAATTATCACTATTTGGTAGATATGATGCCTCTTATTATTACCCTTTATCCATATCAAATTCAAATTTTTGTAAAATTCTTAAAATCCGTCTCCACATTTTTATTCAAGCTCATACCAAAATAAGTTTGACATTTTTACTCAAAATTCTAATGACTTTTTTACTCCCTAAAATTTCATTGAAATTTAAGTTTGGTTAGTGATACTTTATATAAAATTCAAGTTAAGCTTATCATATTATTAGCTTGGGAATTGGCACTAACTCAATTGGGATATGTTTTTTAAGTAACCTAATGATAGTTTTGAACTTTTTTTTTGGTATCAATGCAATCTGGTTGTATTTTTTGTACTTTGATATTCAACAATAAATTTTTATTTTTGTTCACAAAAGAAAGGAAACTTTTACTCAGATATGTAAATAAAAGCGGCTATGTATTACATTGTTAATTTTGAATTTTGATGATGTGTCGAAATTTTAATAGAGATGTGCATTCCATTTATGAAATGGAAATGATTAAAATTTAAATGGGAGAAGAGTATAAGTTGACTAACCCTTTGTGGAGCTGGTTCAAGAGCAATCCTAGCTCTAGTAATGATCCCAAATTGCCCTAGGCCACCAAGAACAGCATGGAATAGTTCTGAGTTTTGTTCTTCTGAACATGTCAAGATCTCACCCTTACCTGTTTCAGATAAAGCCATATCATAAAAATACTAAAAAAAAAGACGTATTTAATAAATTCCCAAAAGAAGATATAAAAAAACAAAACAGTGACAATACTAGTCAGTGATTATACTAACCACCACACACGAGCATTCAATTATGCACATAACAATACTTATATGCTAACCGCATAAAACATATATTAAATAATGCAAAAAAATGCATAAGGATACATCAAAATGTATAAAATATGACAAATATATTTAAATTCATATATATATATATATATATATTTTTAATATTATTTAGTTTTTATGAACGACCATTGGAGAGTCGGTAGCACCCACCCATGTAAAAATATAGTGGTAAAAGGTGTCTTAAGTACCAAAATTATAAAGTTACGACAAAAAAAAGTAACTAGAAACCCCCTATGTAAAGGTATGAGAAGACAAAAGCATCCTCCTAAACCTGGATTGTCCCGGGTGATTAGTGGATGTGATCTCCACACAGTTTCGATTATGAGAGTTAGACGCTGACAAAATAATTTCTCGTCAATTCTTTAATCCTGATTTAGATGAGTTACTTTTAATCTGACCAAAAACACAATTAATTAGTTGCAGTACGCATAAATTAGATCAAATACCATATGAACAAAAAAACATAAAAAGTGTCCTCTTATATTATACCCCAAGTTCAAAAGTTCTCTGTTGCATGTTCACCAAATCATTAAAAACATACACTGTTTTACATGGATTGTGTCTAGTTCAATGACCCATTTATGTATTTTAATTTTTATTCATTTATTTATTGTATATATAAATAGACATGCATGCAAGGAAAAAGACAAAGAAGAGGGAAGGTGATAATCAAACCTGTGACAACATCAAGCTCATACACATTGCTAATCTGAGGGCCATGATTGAAAGCTTGGCCGCTAATTCCACCATTCGAGAGAGTACCACCCACCGAAAGGTACAAGTAATCAGTCCACGACTTGGGTGCGAGTCCATACTCTAGCGTGGACTTGAGCACATCAATCCATAGCTCCCCACCCCACACGTCAACATACCTCAACATATCTGAAACTCTCGGCTTCCCCAAGCCGAGCTGCATTCCCCTTGACCCGCTCATCTGTACCACCACCCCATTGCTCGTCTGAGCCTGCCCGTTTATGGAATGCCCGTGCCCTCTAGCCGAGACTGTGAACCCGTGAGTCGACTCATAAGCCGCTCGAACCAGCTTGGCTATGTCTTCTGCCGAACCGGGGTGAAGAACCGCCAACGGTTCGGTTCGGGTCAGTAGACCAAAATCGAGAGAAGCCGGTTCTACGTCGGTGGGGTCGACGCTGACTCCGATCCGGAGGAGCTCCATGGGATTCAAGGTCAATCCGACGGTCACGATTAGCCGACATATAGCAAACGTTAACAGAAGTTTATTAGTCGCCATTTTAAATTTTTTCTTTATAGCTGAGAATAGCTTCTGTTTGTTTGGGGTTAAATTGAAAGAGTAACGGTTGGGGTTATATAGAGGGGAGAGGAGGTGAAGGATAACAAAAGTGCGCACACGGCGGAGGGAATTGGGAGAGGCTTATTTTGGGAAGGGAACAAAATCTTGTGGCAGCAGCGTGGGGAGTCGCGGAGCTAACGTAAGCCGGATTACGCTTTAAAGATTTTCTACGCAACATGCGCAGATTCTCTCTACCCAGAAAACTCTCCTGTTTATCTCTCTGTTTTTTTCTTCTTTCTTTTCCCTCTCTCTAGAAAGTTTACAAAGTCTGTTGAGTTCTGCTGTGTGTGGTGTGGTGTGGTGTGATTTGAGTGTGGAAAGAGAAGAGTGGGTTTGGTGTCTAGGATATGAGCGCAGGTCCAGAATTTATAGGACATGGGAGGAGAGCAAAGATCTCTAGAGTTTTTTTTTTCTAAAATTTTCTAGAGTGGTGTATTGTGTGGTTGAGATTTAATGACAAGTCACATTAATTTTTCAACATTAAATCTCAACCACACAATACACAATTTTAAAAAATTTTTTAAAAAAAATACTCTAGAAAATCTTTGGTGATGGGAGGAGAGGTAGGGAAGTCACGGGCGAGGGGATGAGGAGACACGTGTGAAGAAGATCGGTGAAGCCAACAGAGAGAGAGAAGGTAAAAGTAATGCCAACATTTCGAATGTTTTATTAGACAATGTTTTATATAGACGTGGCACTTATATGGTGTGAATATTATATTTATATGAAATATTTAATAAAACATTTAAAATGTATAATATTTTTAAAATTATTAGTTGATTTTGAATGCCACGTAATCATATCTTACATTAATCTCAATTTCTTCATACTTTTTCATATTTTTTAATTTTTTAATATAAATTTGTGAATTCAATTTCTTTTACCAATTATAGTACCATTGGTAAATGACATCGGGGTAACTAAGATCAACCAATAATTTCCCAGGGAAGGGAAGGGGTGGGTGGCTGGGGTGGGGGGGGCTCATGAGAGGATACGGAGGATCTGGAGGGTGGGGACAGAGGAGCAAAGGAGTGTTCACGTGGGGTGGAGACAGAGCTGCGCTGCGGAACCATGCTCTCTCTCTCTCTCTCTCGGTCTCTAAAGCCACGTTGCAACCAATCGCAGATTCTCTCTCTTTCTCCCTCCGGACCCTCCCTCTTCACCCTACTTCTTACCTCTTCACTTAACTTCAGTTGCCCCTCTCCCTCTTTAAATGTTGGGGGCTATTTATACTTTTGATTTTTTTTTAATCTAAGTATTTTGTGTTATTTTAAATATTAATGTTTGTTTAGAGATTAACTATATTTAATTTTTCATAAAAATATAAAGATTGAGTTGATTTTTTATAATTTTTGAATTATTTTTTCTTCCTGAACAATCTCTAAATACGTGTTAAAATAGTTTTCATAATTGACGCAGTTAATATTCATAGTTTTTTTTTTTTAGACAGGAGAAACAATTAAGGAGGACTTTGAGGAGCCACTGAACAATCTCTAAATACGTGTTAAAATAGTTTTCATAATTGACGCAGTTAATATTCATAGTTTTTTTTTTTTAGACAGGAGAAACAATTACACAGAAGGAGGACTTTGAGGAGCCACTAACGTCATTAGAGATGGAGAAACCTCCTCCATCTAAATGCATGGTGATTTAAATTCAAAGGCCAATCTACGCAAGTAATGAGCCACGGAATTGTCTTATTACGGTCACCTAATCCTAAGTCACACCGATACTGAATCAGATTTAGTTTTCAAATAAAATATTACACACAAGAAAGAAAAAAAAAACTCTATACAAAATAATAAATTTTATCTTATAAATTGATGTGTTATATTTAGGAAGACTTACATGTAAGTTCTAATATGTGAACTTATCCAATAAGCCCTATGATAATTAATGATATTTTTGATTAAACACTATTAAAAAAAAGTCACTAATTATTAATTTTCAACGACAATTTAAAAATTGTTTCAAAAAATGTCACTAATTATAAGTTTTAGCGACAGTTTAAAAAAATTGTCACAAAAAAGTCATTAATTTTTAACTTTCAGTGACAGTTTAAAAAATTCGTCACAGTAAAATATCACTAATTACAAGTTTTAGCGACAATATATAAAAAAACATGGCAAAAAAGTTATTAATTATCAATTTTTAGCGACAATTTTACTATGATTTATTTTAAATAGGACTTTATGAAAATTAAGTCTAACTATTAGAACCTATTAAGGATCCGTTTGGGAAGAACTAAAGTGGGTTTTTTTTGCTATTTTAGCCACAAAAGACAAAATAGGCTATTTTAGCCACAAAAAACAAAACATCACATCAAACCCATAATCATTACACTCTTCTCTCACAAAAAAAGTCAAAAAAGCCAAAAAGTCAAAAAGTCTTTCCCAAACCAAGCTTTTTAGCCCAGGCTAAAATAGCCAAAAAAGCCAAAAAGCCAACCCACTTCCCAAACGGAGGCTAATAGTTTAATAAAATTTAAAATAGAATCAACTTATTCGATATTATGGGTGCCCTTCCAATAAATAAGAACAATTTATAAAAATTATTATAGATTAACACAAATAAAATGTTCATAATCAACATGATAAGAAAAAAATACTTTAAAATCCAAAAATGTAAGTATAAATCTTCTTTGGTCTTTTGTAGTTTCTTATTCAGAAAATCAGGCAATGTGATGTTGTATACTAATGAATAAAAGCAAATTCAACACATATTTAATATTTTAGTGATAAAATTAAGAAGACTAAAATGATGGGATTAGTTTGACACACAATGTTATTAATGATGGGGTCATAATCATAGTGTTATATATGTTATGTTGGTATAGGTTTCATAACAAAGGAAAATCTAGCCTTAGATTACACAATACCAATAAAAAATGGCTACAACAACCATATTTATTAATAGATGGTAGTTAGCCACCACGACCAAGTGGGTCTTTGTTGACAAAGATTTGGTTTTTAACATTAAAATCGCATATATACCTTCCTTCCTTCAAATTAAAATGAGTAATGCTAGAGACCCCAAATATTCTACCAAAACTTTTACCAAATGTCTCACATGGGTGTGGGACCCACACAATGTGGGTCCCATATGGGTCCCACACCTATGTGAGACATTTGGTAAAACTTTTGGTAAAATTTTTGGGGCCTCTAGCATTTTTGAATTAAAATTCCAATGTTTTGTATGCATTACACTTATCCACACGCTTTTAATACCTTAGCTTGTAATAAAGTGGACTTTGAAAATCCAACTTCCCAAATTATATAGTATTTATTTACTTTGTAAGGAGCAATCATGCTGTACACTCTTTTTCTCATTAAAAATAAAAAAAATAAAAAATGTTGCGTTATTTAGTAGTGTTGGTTATGTTACTAGTGAATTACCAATAATAATGATTATGTTATTCATGTTATGAATATGTAATGGATGATGTAATCAATATGCTATGAATTATTTTTAGGAAAATGTGTTTGGTTTCACTTTTCATGATTTATTTTTTAAAAAATTAATTTTTTATATATCTTGCATTTTTTTTGTTCTCACTGAATTTTTTAATATTTTAAGTAATTTTTTTAATTTTTAAATACACCTAACATAAATACACTTTAAAAAATATAATATTTGTGAAAAAAATCTTTAAAAAATTTACTAAATACACAAAAATATAAAAAAAATTCAAATTTAGTACATTTTCGTATTATTGTGTATTTATTATTTTTAAATATTTTTTTACAAATATTTTACTTTTTAAATACATATAAGTAAGTTGCATTTAAAAAAGTAAAAAAATTGCTTGAAATTTTAAAAATACTCGCTAAAAACAAAGAAATACGGAAAAAAAAAAATCAATTTTAAAAAAATTGAATCCAGAAAATTGAAACCAAACACAGTGTTTTTGTGAACAGTTATGACATTTTGTATTGTTTATTACATAAGACATTGCTTTTTTAAAGAGTGCACATTGTACCAGCTCCATTAGGTTCATATATTAATTTTTGTATGTAATTATTTTTTTCTTTTGACAAATATTTATGTATTTTCTTCTCATTTCACTAACTCACAAAAAAAAAAGAAAAAGAAAAGAAACCTTCTTTCATAATACATCTTTTCTTTTTTTTTTTTTCCTCTTAATTTTGTTTGTGTTAACAAATTGAATATTTAATACATATAAGACTTCAATAGAAACCTTTAAAAATAGTATGAGCAACAATGCCCTAGAGTCTAAACATATGCCAAACAAAAATAAATTTAATGACCTCGTTTGTTCTGGTGTTTTCAAAATCAATGTTTTGAAAATTTTGAAAACATTCATTATTCTTTTCTTTTTTTCCTCTTAATTTTGTTTGTGTTAACAAATTGAATATTTAATACACATAAGACTTCAATAGAAACCTTTAAAAATAGTATGAGCAACAATGCCCTAGAGTCTAAACATATGCCAAACAAAAATAAATTTAATGACCTCGTTTGTTCTGGTGTTTTCAAAATCAATGTTTTGAAAATTTTGAAAACATTCATTATTTTTATATCTGAAAACAATTTCCAAAATTTCAAAAAGATTTTTTTGGTATTTCATTGAAAGTGTATTGTTTTCAAAAAATAAAATTCCCAACTTTCTGTGATTTTTAGAAAACAAAAATCAAAAAACAAAAAACAAAGCAAAAAATCAAACCAAACCAATTTTGTTTTTTGTTTTTTTGGTGGATTGGAACATAGTGGAGAAATATATTGTCAACTAATAAATCATTTTTGTCATAGGGTTATTATGTGAGGGTTGCATGTGTAACATGGCGTGTTTCACAATAATGGCGTACAAAGTATATCGCCAAAGAAGCATTAATGACGACGTGGACACTGAAACAATAATCAACCTAACAATTGAGAAAACGAAGCCCCCATTAATGGATTTCATCGTCAAAAATCGTACAATTTTGTTGTTTCAATCTTGTTCCCATTGTGATGAGCTTATTATCTGTATGAACATTATAAATTTATTTGTATCTGTACTAGATTGTTCACATCAATCTACATCCCCCTCTAAATCACATATTTTATTCAGATATGCTTAGAATTGGAGGAGTTATTCGGTGGTTCTCGGCATGACCAGTCATGAGGTGTCTAGGTGTGTTATGATTAATGAAAGAAGTTGGGTTTATGATTCTATATTAATGTATTAGTGAACAGAAATGAATATAGTATTTCACGATTGATGGGTGATAGAAGAGTATTTCCAACGAACACTTTAAAATAAGCCTATTAGCTATTATAGTGAATTTCATCATTTTTTACTCTCTCCAATGGACTAGTTCCTATTTTAACAAGATTCTTCTAGACCAACTACATTTGGAGAGATTTTGGAGGCTTTTTAAATTATTTTGTGAAAACAAATATGTGAAATAAAGAGTAGTATTGTAGTATATAG